AGATTTTGGAAAATTTCTGAAAATTTTCCAGAAAAAAAACTTTAAAAATTCTAAAAAATTTCTCACAAATTCCTAAAGTTGTTTCTAACACACCAGAACATTTTTTTCACTTCTATTTCCTCTCTCCTTTTTCTATATGATCTATGGACCTATTTATAGGGGATTGATCAGAAAAGTTTTTGATTAATCCCAACTCCCTCTGAGATTTGGATTCAATCTTTCAATCCAATCCCAATTCTACCAACCTCAAATTTTATGGCCAAATCTAATTTTTTCTGATGCTAATCCTAGCCGAAAATCAATCAAGAAAAAGATAAAATAAAAAATATATATGAATAGATAAATAAAAATATATTAATAGATAAATAATAATAAAAATATATATATTGATAAATAATAATAAAAATAAAATAAAAATAAAAATACAAAATGGGCTTACCTATTTAGACCAAGCCCAATTAATCTCAGCCTGGATCAAATTGGGTGTCTACACTAAATAGATCTTTTAGTCAAAGTAGGAATTCTAAGTCAAATAAGGATATCTTTGTCAAACTAAGAATCTAAGTAAAAGTGGGAGAACTTTCTTAAAATAGGAAAACTAATGATGAATTGATCAGTTCCAAGTTAAGGTAGAATTTGTCAAAAATTCTCTAAGATTTAGCAAGATTTCTTTTTTTCTTCAAAATCACCAACATATCATCAAATTAAGCACAATAGAAGTAAAAAGCATATTACTTTACTAAGAACTATGTAAAAGTTAGTCATTTAAACACTAAAAACAAGTCTAAATAACTCTATTTTATAGAGTTATCAAGCCCCAAACTTGAAATTTTGCTTGCCCTCAAGGAAAATAAAATTGAGCTAAATCAGCAATAACATAATAGAGCTCATAATACATACTTTCAATATTAAATTTTCATTAGTCTTAAAAGATTTCATAATGAATATAACTAATAAAAACTCTTAAGTCTAAATTAAACACAAGACTCTTTCAAGAATAAACTCCCTTCCAATAGCAAATTTTCATGTGTGTGAATATAATCTATCTCATATCAATATAAGACATTCAATTAAAATTATGCAATAATTTCATAGCCGTTAGTTAGAAGAGCTTTTTCATTTTTAAAAGTTTCATAATATCTTATTAGAAAAGTATTTTAAAATTTTGAAGTTTCAATGCCTCTGGTTAAAAGAGTCTTTTAAATTCTTAAAGTTTCAATACCTCTGCTAAGGAAGAGCTTTTTTACTTTGAATTTTTAAAATTTCAATGCCTTTAGTTAAAGGAGCCTTTTAAATTTTTAAAATTTCAAAACCTCTGTTGAGGATGAGCTTTTTGAATTTTTAAAGTTTTAATGCCTCTGTTGATGATGAGTTTTTTGTTGTGAATTTTTAAAATTTCAATGCCTTTATTGAAGGGATTTTTTTGTTGTAATTTTTAAAGTTTTAACACCTTTATTGAGGAAGAGCTTTTAGATTTTGAATTCTCAAAGTTTTAAAACTTCTGTTGAGGAAGAACCTTTTGAATTTTTCAAAGTTTTAAAGCCATTGTCGATGAGGAGCTTTTTCGATTTTTCTTTGATAATGTTTTTTCAAACCAAGCAAAATGAATTTTTGTGTCTTTGTACAATTCTTATTTCATAGAAAATATGCAAAAAAGGCAGTTGTGACACTTAATTTTGTTCCAGGTCCTTTTGATATTATTTTAATCTTGAATTGCATTTTGATATTGGGTTTTAAAAGTAATTTTAAGCCCAAATTTAAAGGCTTAAAAGTTTTTTATTTTTATTTATGGTAAAAAAATAAACATAAATTTTGATTTTTTTTTCAAAAATTGTGATTTTATTTAGATTTGAAATTTAAAGATTGAGTTTGATTTTGATAAGTCTGGGGAATCAAGTTTCTACAAGAAAGAAAAAATTTTGACATGATCTTGATAGATTCATTTAGCATTAAAATTTTTTTAAATTGAAAAAGGATTTAATCCCTATATAAAGAACTCAATTCCAAGTTCAGAGGAATCAAAAAAGCAATTCAATCAACAATCATTAAGCAACACAAAATTTTGAGTTTTAGGGAGAGAATTTAAAAGCAGCTAAAAACCTTAATCAACAAACAAAGAAATCATAAAAAGATATAGGAATAAGGAAGGCAAAAACACAAATCATCAAGCAAGAAGAGTAAAAGAAAAACTACAGAGAAAAGGAAACCTAGATCTCGATAATGGATTTGGAACAAATCACTATTTAAAAAAAAAGATAAGAAGAATGAGAGGATTGTGGTGACTGGGATTGGTGGTTGAATGATGTTGGAAGAACACAACATGGTGGCTTGAGGTTGGAGCTATGGGGTTTCATGGAAAGTTTAAATTTCATGGCCTTAGCTTGGGTGATATTAAAGTCAAAATAAAACAAAGAAGAGAAATATGAGAATCATGTAGAATCCACCTAATTGTTTTGACTTGTATCTTGGTAATTTTTCTTATTTTTTATTTGTTATTCACTTTACTAATTTAGATTTTTTAAATCAGAATATGACTTATTTTTTTAATGAAAAAAGAAAAATGATTTTTTTACAAAAAATTAATTGTAAATATGTTTGTATAATTATTTGATATTAATTTTGTAATTAATATTTGTAAGTAATAAAAATTATGTAAATAAATTATATTTTCATAAAATATTTATTAAATCTGATAACGGAACCTTTTCAAGTAAATGTCAAATTTATCTTGAATACTCTTTAGGTGAGAAAACTTTTTTTTTTTTGGTAAAAACCTAAAGAATTTTTTTCAATATTTATATATTAAAATTAATAAAAATAAGGAATAAAAACCATTTGAATTAAAAGCTTAGATAAGATAATATAAGACTAAGTTGGTACTACTTTTAAGCGTTATAGAGGTGTTAAAACCTTCTCTACATATAACCGGCTCCTGAACTTATTTTTGTTGATATAAACCAAAAATTATTTTTTTTAAGAACCTTTAGTTAAGCTTAGGATAATCTTAAAAAAGATAGATTCACATAGGTGACTAATCACACCTAGATAAAAAATATTGGTAATGACTCTAGAACCTACTTTTTATGTCTAATAGGCAAGTTCTTGGACTTAAACTTTATGACATCATACAACACACTCTTATAGTGGTTCTCCTTTGCTTGGCTACCACCATTATATGAAAAAACTCATATTCTGGTCCCTTTCTTGAATCTATCTAATTTTTTATTTTTGTCTCCATAAGCTATTTTTAACTTTTAGTATCTCATGGAGCTCTAATGGCAATTTTTTTTTTTATCAATAGTAATAGATTGAGCTAGTGTAGCTAATTGCAAGACTGTCAACTTCTTCCTTTTCTCTTTAATTGGTTAAAGTTAAATCTCTTTAATACTAGTTTTAATCTCTTTAGCTTTTTTGTGTAGCACAACCATAGTGTTTCCATTTACTAACACTCCTAAAACTCTTTCACTAACTTTAGGAACTCAAGATATTGGCCTAAAAATTAAAAATTTGAAAGGTTTTGGCAATGACTACCTAGGCACTTCCATTTTGATCAAAGGTAGACAGTGACAAAAAACTTCAGATGAAAGGAATTCAACAATGGAGCTAGTAGTTGAGTAAACCATGCATCATTTATCAACAGTTTGTCTAGTTTCCTATAAAGCGAATGATTACTCCATGTGAATAAAGGCCTTGTGCATGGGTGATCCATCATAGCCAACTTTTGAATGCAAGTTTGAAAATCTCTTGTACTAAAGTTAATAACCTAAAAGCCATTGTTGTTTGAACTCTCTAGGGGATAAGTAATAATATTAAAGTCGCTAGCCAAAATCCATGGGCAATTATTAATAGTACTTTAGAGAGAAATTAAATGTTTTCATAACCTCTTCCCTTCCCTTTCAACATTATACCCATAAATGGCAGTACGACATATTTATTGAGCACTATATAAAAAGCAATAAATGATGCTTTGATTAGTGACAACCACTAAGTTTATATTCATTTTAGGTTTCCATATCAAGCAATTTCTTCCATTTGAAGTAGTGGAATAGTTATGATGTAAAGGCCATCTAGCAAAATAATTATTTAGAACTTCCTATGTGTTTTGCTGTTTTATTTTAGTTTTGACAAACAAGCAACATTTACATGTAATCTTCTAATCCTACCTATAACCTTCTTTTGATTTGAATGAGCATTAAGCCCTCTGATATTCTAACTAATCATGTTCATAAAGAATGAAAGGAAGAAGAAGTACTTCTTAAGGTAGAGCTATCTACCTTTGCTTACTTTTTTTCCCTTATCAATAAGACATTTTTTCTTGGTTTTCAATAGATTCATTAGGTTTGGAACTCTAATTGAGGTTGGTCTCGCTTTATAAAGTTATTTTTGCCACAACCTTATAAAGTTTAGTTAGAGATATAATAAGAAAAATATTGAAAAAAAAAGTAATATATAGATCATTAGATTTTTAAAATGTATAAATATAATTAATAATATGAAGAAATAAAAGATAAATTTTAAAATGAGTTTTTGTAGTTAGAGTTTTTCACATGATAATTTTATGTTACTAAAACACTATTTTTTTATAATGATAAAATAAAAGTTTTATAAAAAAGAAAACATAATAAATATTGATATTTTATTAAAACACTAATAAATTTCACAAATTCCATTTCTCAAGGTAAAATGTGAAGAGCGAATAAATTTTCTAAAACCCCCTTTCAAAATTTAAAATACTTTAACAATAATTTAATTTTAAAATTCTTCCTACACGAATGAATTCCCTTAAGAAAATTTTCGTTTTCGTGCACCCTTTGTCGTCGTCCCTCAACAGTTGTCACTACGGACTACGGTCACGTCAATGTTTTGGGCCAGTCAATGGACCCAATTGTTTATTAAGTAAAAGGCCCAGAATTCGACCAAGGCCACACAAATCTGAACTCCTCACGTTTTAGGACTGCCGGACTGGATTGATCCTGGACCTGGATCCACTCTGGAATCGCCATTATAACGACTCTCATCAGTTAATTTCCAGCTCTCTACTCTTTTACTCTCTCAGCTACAATTTCAATTGAGAGAAATTTTCCTAGAATTACAAAATATAAAGTACTAGCACTTGTTGGTTTTGATTCGAAACCCTAAAAGTCCCCAAAACCCCGACGAAATTAGGGTTTTTGTTGTAAAAAAATCAACCATGTCTAAACGCAAATTTGGATTTGAAGGGTTTGGGATAAACCGTCAAGCTACCTACAACTTCGAGCGATCCCAAGCTCCTCAACGCCTCTACGTCCCTCCTTCTTCTCGCCACGGCCACGACAACTACGAAGATACCGACCTTGACGACATCGATTACGCCGATAATGATACCTCCAAGGACGTCGACACTAATTACCCCGATAGCAAGGGAAACGGAGCGGAAGATGACGAAATTGACCCTCTTGACGCGTTCATGCAAGGTATTCAGGAGGATTTGAATGCGGCGCCGCCTCCGAAGCCCAAGGATAAGGCGGAGAGGTTTAAAGACGATGATGATGAGGATGATCCGGTGGAGAGTTTTTTGAGGGTGAAGAAGGATGTTGGGCTGACTTTGGCGGCGGATGCTTTGCGTGCGGGGTATGATTCGGATGAGGAGGTTTATGCGGCAGCGAAGGCGGTAGATGCGGGTTTGTTGGAGTACGATTCGGATGATAATCCCGTTATTGTGGACAAGAAAAAGATCGAGCCGATTCCAGCCCTTGATCACAGTTCCATTGAGTATGAGCCGTTTAACAAAGATTTTTATGAGGAGAAAACTTCAATTTCAGGTAAATGAAATCGCAAATTATCTGATAATTGTAAGTTTAAGATGTTTACAAGCCGAATCATTTCTTAAAAAAAAAACACATAATGGATAAGGTTGTCTTCAAAATGTTGGTTTGTCTTTGGTTATTGATGATATTATGTGGATCTAAGATTAGTTGGATTCTTATAATTACTTAGAGTTTGAATATGGCTTGGTTGATTACAATGTAATGTTTATTTCACAATGGTTAGCTTTTTGCACTTATCTGCATGCAGCTTAATTACATGAGTATCTTCTAAATAATACTAGGATAGTCTATAAAGGTAGAATAGAGTATGAAATTTACTTATGTTTTTGAAGTATAATTGATTTTTTTTTTTTTTTTAGGTTAGCTAATGACCTTAGGAGATTTTTGTCATTATATTGAAAAAATATGCATGGCTCTGTTAGTCATTATTGCTTATAAATGTATAATGTGGCACTTGTTTCTTAATGTAAAGGGATCATATTCTTCATCGAGGTCACTCTATTCCTAAACCTTTTTTATCTTTAAAACATTTTGATGTCTAGGAATGAGTGAGCAGGAAGTTGCTGAATATCGAAAGAGTTTGGCTATTCGTGTTTCTGGTTTTGATGTTCCAAGACCTGTTAAGACATTTGAAGACTGTGGTTTTGCACCAGAATTAATGCGTGCTATTGCAAAACAAGGGTATGAAAAGCCGACTACGATTCAGTGCCAAGCCTTACCTATTGTCCTTTCTGGGAGGGATGTTATTGGTATTGCAAAAACTGGTTCTGGTAAAACTGCTTCTTTTGTGATTCCAATGATTGTCCACATTATGGATCAGCCTGAACTTCAGAAAGAAGAGGGTCCGATAGGAGTGATATGTGCACCTACGCGAGAACTAGCACACCAAATATTCTTGGAAACAAAGAAATTTGCCAAAGCCTATGGGATACGAGCCTCTGCTGTATATGGTGGAATGTCCAAACTTGATCAGTTCAAGGAACTCAAGGCAGGATGTGAGATAGTCATTGCTACACCTGGTCGATTGATAGACATGCTAAAAATGAAGGCACTGACAATGATGAGAGCAACTTATTTGGTACTTGATGAGGCTGATCGAATGTTTGACCTTGGGTTTGAGCCACAAATAAGATCCATCGTTGGCCAAATCAGACCTGACCGCCAGACCTTACTATTTTCAGCAACAATGCCCCACAAAGTTGAGAAGCTAGCAAGAGAAATTCTCAGTGACCCAGTCAGAGTTACAGTTGGAGAGGTGGGAATGGCTAATGAGGATATTACTCAGCTTGTTCATGTACTTCCTTCTGATTCTGAGAAGCTACCGTGGCTTCTAGAGAAGCTACCTGGAATGATTGATGAGGGTGATGTTTTGGTGTTTGCTTCCAAGAAAGCTACTGTTGATGAGATTGAATCACAGCTCTCTCATAAGGTTTTTAAGGTTGCCGCCCTTCATGGTGACAAAGATCAGGCTTCTCGAATGGAAATTCTACAAAAGTTTAAGTGTGGCATCTACCATGTTCTCATTGCAACTGATGTTGCTGCTCGTGGCCTTGACATCAAGTCAATTAAGTCAGTTGTGAACTTTGATATCGCAAAGGACATGGACATGCATGTGCACCGTATTGGTAGAACAGGTCGTGCTGGTGACAAAGATGGCATTGCATATACTCTGATAACTCAGAAGGAGGCTCGGTTTGCGGGTGAATTGGTAAATAGTTTAATTGCTGCTGGTCAGAATGTGTCAATGGAACTGATGGATCTTGCTATGAAGGTATGTTGATTACTTTAACTATATTTATTTTGTAGTCAGTGGTATTCATTAAAGTTATTAGAAAACAATGTGCAACATTCTTTTTGCTTTTTACTTTTGGTGGTCTTCTAGATTGCTTGCCAGCAACAATTCGTGTGACTGATGGACTATCTTATACATTTACCAAGTTCTCCTTTCTTGAAATCTGTAGCTTTCAGATTTGATTTACGTGTATGATAACTATGCATTGCTATTTGCCTTGTCTATAAATAGGATGGAAGATTCAGGTCCAAGCGTGATGCAAGAAAAGGAGGTACGGTTATCTTGTGACAAACCAATGCAGTTGTTAATGTATCTGCTTGTTTGTATTTTTCTAAAACTTTGTTTTTGTGAAGGTACAAAAATGTAAAGCGTCTGACAAAGAGTTTTAATCACCATTTCTTTATATGTTTTTCCAAGATAATTCATGTTTGCTGGAATTATGAAAAGTATGTTGAACTCTCAAATGATGTGTACTATAACATGCAGGTGGAAAGAAAGGCAGAGGAAGGGGGGGTGGTGGTGGGGGTGGTCGAGGTGTGCGTGGAGTTGATTATGGTCTGGGTATTGGATATAATCCAGAATCCGGTAATGCTTCATCTCAGGCTGCTCAAAGTCGAAATGCTGCTGTAAATTCTCTGAAAACTGGCATGATGGCACAATTCAAGAGTAACTTTGTTGCTGCTTCATCAAACTCTCAAAGTCAAGGCTTCGGCAACAATTCAAGTGTCAGGAAACCAACTTTGCCTGGATTTGTATCCGGTGGTACCATTGGTGGAGATATAAATAGGTCTCAGATGGCCGGTTCATTCAGCACTGCTCCGATGTCAGGATCGAATACTTCACAGAATACTGGACAAAACACTACCCAGAGGAACTCAGAGAGGTCCTTTTTTTCAGCTGAAATTTTGTGACACCATTCTGCGTACCACAACTACTATGCTGATTATGCTCATAATTGGCTCTGTTTTTGCAGTTCCAGAGATAGACCTAGAGAAAGACGAAGGCCTTCTGGGTGGGATCGTTAGTCTTTATACATTGATGGATGATGCTATTTACATAAACGGTCGGCAACTTTTATCTGTTCAAATCTTGAATTAACCTTGTCTGTATAATTATCATGCTTAGTAAGTCCTTTTCCTGCTTTTTGTTCAATTATAAGTTCAGTTTAATTTCATATTTTAGTTCTATAATTTAATTTTTCTGCATGTTTATATGTTCTCTAACTTTCCTGCTTCATTGGTTTTTATTTGACGAGTATCTTTAGTTTGTTGATAGAGTTGATTATAATTTCTAATTGCAGTGGAATCTTTTGGAAGAATAGGTGTGCAATCATCTTTCGTTGACACTAAATTACAGAGGCATTCCATGACTTCATAAACATAACAAATAAAAAGCAATAGAATCGTCATAAAAGAAGAAAAGAAAAGAATAATGATTGATGGATCTAACATACGATTTCTGGAAGGGCATGATCCTTTTTGGATTTTAAGGCTGTCTTCAGTTATGGAGCATTTTAGATCCTAGGCAGTGGAGGGTGTTGTCAAACACCTTGTGGGTTGCTGTTGATGATATTCGCCTCATCTGCCCAAGTCTATTATTTAACTTAAGTTTGGAAATGCAGTGGAGAAAGAAAATTGTTGATAGGAGCAATAGCTAGCTCTGCACAACAACCTGCTAGGTTCCTGTCCCTGGGCTGGGGATTATGATCAGCTGAAACTGCTTGAAAATTCTCATTCATCTTCGTTCAATCATAAGCACAACACAACCCCTGATGATGGTTGTCTGGTTTGAATTAGTGGATAATTTGTCCTACCAAAAGGATTTTTATTTTTATCCCTTGGCGATTAAGAGATAGATATTGTAGACAGTTCCAGGCCAATTTAGCCACAATGAAATTCTGGTATAAAGTTATGGCTGGTATGCAATGAAATTCGTCTTCTTTTTCTTCTCTCTGTGCCTGGATCTCTGGTGCCTATGATGTGTTTGCAAGAGCCCAGTGTGCCTGTATGGCTTTTCCCATTACTGTCAAATACATTATTAGAAACTCAATAGATTGCAGAAAAAAGATTGACTGACTGAAGCCTTTTTATGTTGACAATTGGTACTTGGAAAGCATGACGTCAAAGTTGGAAACCTGAATCAAGATGTCACGCACGGTTTATGGCTGTGGAAATTTCGTCACATTCACATTCCTTTGAATTTCCCTCTGTGTATTAGCAATTGGACAGACATATATCAAGGCAAAGCTCTTTAAGGGTGCTAATCATTCTCCGACAATGGTGGGTGGTTCCCAAATTTGAACTGCCATGTCAAAGTCAACAGCATTATCAAAACTTAGAAATGTGCTAAATACTTTTAAAACTAGCAACAAGATGGGTAGCAACTGGCAATTGATGAGATTACAAGAATACGTTAGTTTTTGTTGGAGGATGTTGCTTTGTAAAGGAAAATCTAGCCACATCTAAGCTGAATTGCTGATGGTAAATAAATGAAAACCAAAGGGAGAACAAGATGTCGGGTAGCGCAATCTAATTTATCCGACAATCTTTACACTCTAGTAGCAAAATGAGTTTTCGATGGTCAAATGCAATTCGGAATACCATAGTTTTAGGAACAAAGAGAAGGGCCTTGTCCCTAGAGTTACCTGACTGCTATAATCGCAGAAGTTCGACTCCTTCGCTCTTTTGAATTTGCTATTGCAATAATCTCATGAAGGACGATGCATTAGCCAGTTCTTTTTTAAGTGCATGGATGAATTGAAGCTCATCAATAAACTTCATCTTTCAACAACTCTCACCTGACTGTATGTGAGATTGGGACAACTCGAGAAGGTGCCTCAACTAAACTTATAGATGAATTGAAGTTACCTTCTCTGGATGCAGAGCTAGCGAATTTAAATGACATTGAGTGAGTAGAGTGTTTTGGAAGAGTTCAGATGACAACATATGGTAATCTGGCTGCTCTTTATGTCGTGGTTGGGCTGTTTGTGAAAGCTGAGGGCCTGAGGCATGTCTTAACTTCGGTTTATCGAGTGTGGGAGCTCTGAAACGAGCTTTTCCCTTTGTTACCAACACGTACGAGCTATCCTATTTCGATTCAAGCACTTACCATATTATTGAAGTATTTTGCTTTGAGGAGTGGGAGTCTAGTTGCTCTGCTTATGATATAAGGTTGGCATCTATTACTATCCGACTTTTTCTTTCAGTTGACATGCTTGAGGAAGCTGAACTTGTTTTAGTTATGCAATATTATGAAGAGAAGAAAAGGTCCTTAGACTAGGGCTTAAAGAGATGTCATTTTGAATTGGCTCTGAAGCATATCGAAAAGGAAGCAGCGGTTTCTGAGATCAATGACTGGAGCCCTTCGAATCTTGAAACTTTGACGGCATTTTTTTTAACTGTTTCATGAAAGAGGGTGACGTTGATGCCTCTGAGTTGTGCAAGATTCTGAAGAATAACAATTATCTTGATTCTGATCCCTACCGTTGGTTTGGTTGCTAATAACTTTATATGTAGCTGCTGCTGGTAAAGTGGCTCCTGACATGCGTCAACGGTTGGAGGACGATGGTTATTGAACTAAAGCCAGGACCTTCAGGATTTGCTTGTAAATGTTTGGCCCGAGTAATGTTGTAATATGAAGCTGTTCCTGTTGGGAGATCATTCTTAGAGTTTATAGAGCACGTCAAAAAAGTCTGTACATACATGTTAGACATTATTTAGAGTTTAAAAATTTAAGTTATTGAGTTTTTGGATCTTTTCAACTTTACTTTTTTATGAGTTTAAATTGTCTCAATGTCCCTTAAACTTACAATCAATCATAAGTTGACTTAGTATATCACTTTTTTAGGCATTTTGCTTTTGCATGTTACTATACTCGCCGCATCTAAAGTCAAACTTTTGGCTTTGATATCAATTGTTGAGAGATAAATCACACTTTGAGTTTATAGGAGCTCATCAAAAGAGCCTATACAAACTTCTTAGAGTTCATAGATCACATCAAAGAAGTTTATATATATATGTTAGACATTATTTGAGTTTAAAAATTTAAGTTATTGAGTTTTTTTATCTTTTCAATCTTACTTTTTTGTGGGTCTAGATTGTCTCAGTATCCTTTAAACTTACAATTAATCATAAGTTGACTTAGTATATCAGCTTCTTAGGTGTTTCGCTTTTACATATTACCATACTTATCGTATCTAAGTCGAACTTTCGATTCTGATATTAATTGTTGAAAGATAAGTCATACTTAGAGTCTACGGGAACACACCAAAAAAATTTATACAGACTTGTGAGACATCACTTAGACATAAAAATTTAAGCTGTTGAATTTTTGAATACTACATATATACGTACATATATATGTATATATATACATACATATGATATTTTAATCTCATTTTTTTATGATGTGAAATTTTTTATTAACATGTAAACCACCTCAACGATTCCCAACCTACAATTATTTGGATAATTTGGAGTTTCTATTTCTTACGTCTAATTGTAGTTGTTTAATTGCACAATATCACAAAAACTTTCTATCATTTCTTGTTTCTAATTTTGATTAAGGTTTTATTCAAATTCAAAGGATACCATGCGATCATGGCACTTTTTGAGTTCCAATTGTGTCGTGGCATTGTTTGGGTGCCATGAGTGCCATAGGGTGAAAACATTTCCACCATGTTGCATTCCGTTTGGCTCTCTTGAAGTTTAAGCATCCAGTGAACCTCGTTGCAATTCGCAACATAATTATCCTTTTTATTTTTTATTTTAATTATTTTAATTTGCTTTTTATTAAATAAAATTTTAAAAATTTTAAATATTAAATAACTTTAAAAAATGCAAAAATAATTTTTAAATATTTAATAAAAAATAATTTGATATAAAAATAATATCATTTTCAAGGACATTTTAGGTTTGGAAGGTAAAACAGTTTTTTCACAATTTAGAAAAAGTCAGTAAAACCAAAAAGACATCTTGGGCATTTCAACCAAGTCTAACATGGTGAGTTAACTTTATCTTGTGGCATTGATCTCAGTAGCGCTAGTAGTGTCGCGCATGACAAGGGCATGATCGCGCTAATGTGTCTCCTAGATATTGGAAATAGACTTGCCACGTCTACTAAGAGGGCCCACATCTGATTGGTCACTGAATTCCCTTACCGAGCCTTTCCGATCCAATCACTCTCCTTTACAAGTATAAATACTCTATTTCCATTCCAAATAAAGAGATCGAATTCCAATAAATCTTTACCTATTATTATTATTTTTTTTCACTTTCATTCTTTTTTTAGCACTAACTTGAACGTCGGAGCACAAACATCAGAGAGCCCTTTGGCATTTGCTACAAATGGACCTCCAATTTTGTAATTTTAAGTTTTCACCCATTGAATCGAGATCGAGCATTTTAAGTCTAGAAGGCAAAATAGTTTTTCATTATTTAAAATAAGTTAACAATGCTAAAAGGGCATCTTGAGCATTTCAATAGAGTCAATGTGGCACACTGACCTTATTCTGTGGAGCTAATCTCAATAATGCCAATGGTGTCCCACCTGATAGGGGCATGACCATGTTGATATGCCTTGTAGATATTGGAAATTAACTGCCACATCTACGAAGATTGCCTATGTTAGATCAATCATCAAATTCTTGACCTAGCTTTTCTAACACGATCAGTCTCCCTTACAAGTATAAACACCTTTTTTTATTCTAGGTAAAGGGACCAAATCTTAAGAAATCCTTACCTATTACCTCTCTTTTCCTTTCATTTTCTTATCTCTATATTTTTTTTTTTGAGTTTTGATTTAAGTGTCAGAGCACAAACATTGAAAACATTTTTGATCTTTGCTACTAACCAACCTCTGATCTTATGATTTCAGGTTTTCATCATTTGAATAGAGCTTGGCACACATATTTTGCCACGTTAAGAAAAGGCCTTTCCCATTAAGTTGAGCTCATTATGCAAACTAAGAAGAAATCCACAAAAAGGAAGATAACTGTACTATAGCTGGGACTGACACCTAATTCAACCACCTTAACCCGTATCGACCTATATAGAATACACCTACCATAGAGCAATTCAAAACTCTAACCCAACAACTCCAATATCTTATTGACTAATCCAAAACATTACATCTCTCCAAACCTTAAAGGAATCGATAGCCATTGCTTAAAGAAACCCACAAACTCAAAGTGAGTCGACCTACAATGATAATGAGGTCAGTTCATCAACCCAAAAGAAGAGTCTCCAAAAAGCTATTACCTAACCATACCAAAACCCAAACTACTATGAAATCCAAGCAAGCCACCTAGGAACAACTAATAAACAAAGTCTTGGAAGCTTGGATGGAAGAGATGGAAAAAGTACTAAAAAATAAGGCTTCAACTTTCAAAATAAGCTCAAGTTCTTGGAAAGCTCTTCTTTTATCAAGGACATGTTAGTATATGCCCTAAGACCAATCAAATTGGCTATGGGATAAATGCCATTTTATGCATTTTTATTATTATGAAATGCATTCTTTATCTATGGGCTTGTATACACATAATTGATATTACTTTTTATAGATAAAATCTTTCGAATAAATATGCTTTACAAGGGAATTACAAAGAGATTATAATTATGATATCATCATTGCATTAAAGCATTATACCTAAATTGTTCCTGATTGATGCTTGGTCAAGAAAGGGCATTGATAAAAGTTGTTGAGACCGGCACATGGTTATAGTTTTGTTTATGAAGCAAGCAACAAATCTTATAGGTTGAAGTTTGGGCAAACATGAGCTAACATGTGGGTGCTTGTTGCAAGAATAAGTTCACTGAACATGACTTGAGATGATAATGCTATATGATAGTTCACATAGTGTCTCTAATTATATTCTCATATGATAGTTGTATAAGTGATCTTTTGACTTGAGATTACTTATGATCTTATATGATTAATATTATACTTTAACTTTACTTGTGGTTTTAACCAAGATTGCTTCAATCAATTATAGTTAGGTATAACACGAAGTATATAAAGATGCATGAAGTAATTAAGATGTGATTTATCACCTTGTGTGATCAAGAGAGTATCTCAATCAATCTTACTTGAATTAACTTAAGAAATCTTTGGTCAAAGTGAAATAAAAGTTTATAATTGTTCTAAAGCTTATTTATAGAGTTACTGTCAAGGACAATACTTAACATGGTTGAATAAGATTGAGCAAATATTAAACCATACTCAATGTTCAAGTTGAGATGCTTAGTGATGAAGGGTTATTAATTATACATCAAGATCATGCACGGATAGATTGTCAAGCCACATTAACTTTCTTTAGCTCTTAGGGGTCATGACAATATAGCTAGCATTGATCATGATCTATAAACATGAGATTGACTAATTAGAGAGTTAGTGATAAAGTAAAAAGTATTGATTCACCTAAGTCTAAACATAAGGATTACAATACTTGTGTTTATTGCCAACATACTAACGAACCTAATAGGTCACACAAAATAGGACATGTTGTCAAAGATTAAATTTGAGATAAATTAAGTTAGGTTTAATTTATTATATTAAAATCCAATATAAAGAAATATACAAAACTCCAATACTAAATGAGACATTGTATGGCCAGCCAAGTAAATAATCCTATTAAGAATAGGACTTGGTCAAAGGGTTATTCTATTGATAATAGAAGTAAGCCTAAGGAAACCCTAATACTTTAAGGTTTTGACTTACTTCTTGTCTCTATATAAAGAACTTATGTCACCCCCTCTCTTGTAGCATTATAAGAGAATAAACATCTTATATGTTGTGAACAATTGAGAGAAAAACACAAAAGAGGGTAATTGACTAATCTCACTAGCTATAAATTTTGATTTTGAGTTCTTCCTATCCCTTACAGTGTGTTTGGATTGAGGGAAGAGGAAGGAAAGAAAAGTAAAGTAAAGGAATATAAAGGAAACAAAACCCCCTTCCCTTATTTGGATAAATTTTTAATTTAAGAAAAAAAAAGAGGTGAAAACCAAATAACCTTTGGTTTCCTTTGTAAACCTAATTTGTTTAATACCCCAATTTGAAGGAAAAACTAGGGAAATGAAAGTTGAAAAATATTTTTTTTATAAAAAGACTATTATTTTCATCTTTTTATTAATACTAAAAACCTAATAAAAAAGCCTGAATAGATCACAATCATCCTATAATTTTTTCAAAGCCATCTCTTTTTTCAAGTATGTTTCACATATCTCTTCCAATATAAAATTTTTTTATAATTTTTTGGTGATTTGATTTTGATGAATGGTTAAATATGAATAGATATATTTTTTAGGTTTCTGAGATGACTGACTAGCTTAAAATCCATCAATGCATATTTGTAAAATATCTTCCTGTTTCACTTGATTAAAAACTATTGATATAGCAGCAATTGCGAGGCCAAACAAGATAGCAAACATATTAATGTCTAGGAGTGCTTTAAAATCACAAGCAATGAAAGGTTATAATTGGAAAATTTATTATTATGAATTATTTCCTTTCTTTTTCACTCTTTATCCAAACAATGGTTGTTAGAATTCCTTTCATTTTCTTTATTAATTTTAATTATCCAAACAAAAGTTACATGTATCATTTCCTTTCCTTTAAAAGACTTTCTTTTCTATTCTTTTCCTTTCATTTCCTTTCCTTTATTAATATTTATCCAAACATAGCATTATAGAATGTTTTTTTCATTATATTTGTGTGGATCATCACTAGAGGTTGGAC